ACATTCATTCTTAACCTCTTTACGCATATGTTATTCACTGGGCTTTAGCTTACTGTTTATATATATATGTAGGTGTCCAGGCACTGGATCGGAGCTAGGGGCATGGGGTTTAAACTCCTTTTTGTCAAGCCAACCAACGTGCCTCACTGCGAGGTTCCAAGTGCTGCTAAGCTAAGGCTGCTTCGGGGTGTTTTAGATTCTCCCTTTTCTGTCTCTGTTTTGTATCAACTGTATAGACTATTACTGTACTGTTATGGTAGGGATCTAGTCCCTAACCTGAATGATTATATATGATGTATGTATATAGTATTTTTGTTCTGAAAGTGAATATGTTATGAAAAGTCTTTTTGCATACAGACTGTCAAAGCTCATTGGACATTTTTTAATTACTGTTTTGGCTTCCGCCAGCCTCTGTACTCTGTATTACTGTTTTACTGTGAAACAGGCCATCGGTAATCTCAGATTACTGGCCGGTTACGGTGCTAAACCCATAGGGGCGGGTTTGGGTCGTGACAGAGTGGTATCAGAGCGATGCTAAACCACGAGTTATACCGCACACACATATCAAAATGAGCTATAGGATGTAATAGAAAAGTAATTAGGACATTATGTGAGCATGAAAGTGTGTGTGGCCATGACATGAATATACGTGCTAATGTGTTAATATGTTAAGTATGCAACTGTCTATGTTCATAATTGCCATAATTGTCTACAGTGAAATGGATAACGCAAGAACTACTGATGAAATGGGCCAAAATGTCATCTCTAAGAGCATCTCCAACGGTTCACCAAAATTTTTATCAAATCTGAGTAAAAAAGTGACTTTTTTCTCATTCTGATACGGAGGGCTCCAATGGTTCATCAAATCAAATTTTTATCAAATCTACATTGGGACAACCGGCTGGTCGACCGGTGAAGGCAAAATTTTTTTTTTGAATTGTTTGAACCTTTTCAGTGAACTCTCTGAACCTTTTTCTGGGACGACCGGTTGGTCAACCGGCAAGGCAATTTTTTTTTTTTAACTGTTTGAAATTTTTTTTTAACTGTTTGAACCCTTTAGTGGTTGATCGGTTGGTCAACCGGCCGGTCTACCGGCTGGTCGACTGGTTGGTCTCCCCCAACGGTCAGGAACAGTGATTTGGTGAAATGCTGCGCCTGTTCTCATTTTGGTTAAAGGTTTGGTGAATTCTCGATTTGATATCGATTTGGTGAAACCGTTGGAGCTCAAAAAAATAACTTTTTTACCAAATTTTAAATTTGATGCCTGGTTTGGTGAAGCGTTGGAGATAGTCTAATGAAATGAAACAGGGGAAAAAAAAAAAGGGGTTAAAATTATGGATTTGGATTTTTTTTTTTAAGCTTCAATTTTTGATTTTTTTTTTTGCTAGTTTAACTTGTCTAAATTAACTCTATTTAGAAAGTTTTTTTTAAATAATTTTTTTATATTTTTTGAGAGAAAAAATAAAATAATTATAATTTTTATGTGACATTTTATTTAATTAACTTATTTAACATATTTTATCTTTTTATATTTTTTTCGTTCCAACCCAAACTCAATTCACTTGGCAAAAGCAATTGAATTTATTACATTATAATATATTTTAACCCAATGGTGGAAAAACAATCAACTTGTTTGGTTTTGATCAAAAAATATTTTAAAGAAAATTCTATTTTCTTATTTTTCGTGTCTTTTTATGAATTTTTTAATATTTTAAGTAATTTTTTTAATTTTTAAATACACCTAACATAAATACATTTTAAAAGTATAATATTTGTGAAAAAAATCTTTAAAAAAATTCATTAAATACCAAAAAAACAAAAAAAAAAAATTCAATATATTTTTCATATTTTTGTGTATTTATTAATTTTTAAAATAATTTTGACCAATATTTTACTATTTATATTTTACTTAAAATTTTTACCAATATTAATTTTTAAAATAATTTTTACTATTTTACTTAAAATTTTAAAAATATTCATTAAAAAAAAAATATGAAAAACAAAAAACTTAATTTTGAGAAAACTAAATTCAAAAAATTAAAACCAAACATGTTAATTAGTTTCTGGAGAAATTATATATAAAAAAACTCAAAATTTAAAGAATAAGCTCGGAGTTTCTTTTTTTTCCTTGATTTTTATATGTGTATGTCATATGTCATATTGAGGCTTCTTTTGCAAAGATGTCTAAAAGTCAAAAGCAAGCTTTTAACCTATTTTGAGTTATATTATTTTTTTATTTTTTTTTATACATTTTTTTAAAAAGGTCAAATAAAACTAAAGAATTAATTTTTAACCACATTTCCAAAATAATCTGAGTTTGCTGAAGTTGTAAATGCGCATACCCAACGCATGACCCAACTTAATTTTTGGGAACTTACTGATAAGTCCCATGTACTAAGTTCAAAACCCAGCTAATCCCAAAACAAAATATTTGCACCAATTAGTCTAATACATTTTTAATTGTTACCAAAAAATTCTTTTTTTTTTTTTTTAATTTACAGACACTGTTCACATTTTACTATCGTTAGACTTCCGTCAAAAGGTCGCCGGAGACTCGTCGGAATGTTTAAAACATGTTATGAAACTGTAAAATTTTACAGTTCTAAAGAATGTTATAAAACTGCAAAATTTTACAGTTTTAAACCATGATTCATTCCAGCACCAAAAAAAAATTTTGAAACTACAAAATTTTATAGTTTTCACCACCTGTAACTAAAACTCGAAAACTATTTGTTCAGAATTCGAAAATTTTCTCCATTAGAACAGAAAAGCAGAAGTGTATAGCAGAGAAAAAAAAAAAGAGATCGAAGGAGAAAGGCGGATGTAGAGAGAGAATTGTACTATGACAACTGTTTTTTGTTTAGATCTAGCCAAATCTGATGTAGATCTACTCAGATCTGATGTAGATCACTCATCTTCGTCGTGAGAAATATATATCTTCGCCGTCGGTGAGAGTGAAATCACGAGTTGATTTCGGTGGTTGGCGGTTATCAGTGAACCCCGATCAATGGAGAAAGACATGAACACTTGCACCATCGTCTATGACGAAGACGATGAGAGAAAAATATAGAAAAAAAGAGAAAGAAGAAAACGTAAAAAGGGAGGAAAAAACCAAAGAGATGGAGGAAATGACTTTTGAGTGTACCCAAAAAGTTATGAAATTAAATGGTGTCCACATGTTCCACATGGGATCTGTGAGTAATTTTCCCTTAATTTTTTAGGGGAACAAAATGAGCCATCACTTATAGCCAAGCTCATCTCGGGTGGGCCCAAAACCTACCTATTAATAGAAAAATGTTTGAGGGCCCTAATTTCTGTGGCTCAAATGGCTCAAATTTGCCAAAACGACGTCGTTTTGGCAATTTTGATGTTGTTTTGTACTCAAAACGACGTCGTTTTGACAAATTCGAGCCATTTGAGCCACAAAAATTAGGGCCCTCTACCATTGTTGCTATTAATAAGGAGAGGTATGATAACTTTTGTGTCCTATTAAGAAGAGTGTTAGTTTAAAATAATTTATTAAAAAGTAAAAGAAAATTAATAAAATAAAATATCGTATCTAATTTATAATTATTTTACTTTTTCTTTTATAATTATCAAATCAATTATATATAAAAAAAAACTAACATTTCAAACCTAACTATTTTGGTCAAATTAAATTACTCAAAAATGTAAATAACTAACTAAAATAATTAATTCCCTAAACACGCACACTATCACAATTCACGTGGTACATGTGGTCATTTTTAGGCCCCTTTAAAAGTTAGCTGAAAAATTAAAAGTAATTCTTAAAAAAAACAGTGCTAAACAAATTGATTTGTTTAGTACATTTATAATTTTAGACTTTTTTCTAATAGCTTTTTAGCATAAGCAAATTTAATAAATTTGAATTTTTTTATGAAAATGAATTTAATAAATAAACTAATTTTTTATAGCAAAATAAGTTGTTGTAATCAATAAATTAACATTTTTTTGGGGGTACAACCTATGCCTATTTATTATTATTTAATTTCTTAAACGTGGTATTGTCAGACTAATCTCTTCACATGGAGGTGATTATTATAAGGTCAACTGCCTCTTATAAGAGTTAAATTAATCTTATAACAACCATATTTATCATCTTATATATCATTATTATTAATAAATTAACAATACATAAAACGGAAAAATATAATAAGATAATACAGTTATCATAATATTATTGTTATATTAGTTGAAGTATTAAACATTTTATCTTAATTGGTTAATTTATTGAGTTTTTTTAGCCTGTGTTTGGCAAGTGGGTTTGCAGGCTTTTTTGGCTATTTTAGCCACAAAAAACAAAATAAGCTATTTTAGCCATAATAAACAAAACATCACATCCAACCCATAATCATCACATTCTTCTCTCACAAAAAAATTCAAAAAAGCTAAAAAGCCAAAAAGCCCTTCCCAAACCAAGCTTTTAAGCTCAGGCTAAAATAGTCAAAAAAATCAAAAAGCCAAAAAGCCAACCCACTTCCCAAACGGAGGCTTAATCAGTTAGAGTTGCTTCTTCCTAAGTAACCCATGGAATATTCCAATTACTCTGGGTTTCAAGCTGTGCTTTATTTTATTTTTCAAAATCACAATAAACTACCCAAGCCACCCTGGCAAAGTAAGATCCTAATAATTTTCATCACTTTTTTTTTTTTTAAGGGGTTAGCCGAACAGTAGAGATTTTAAAATAAGATTTAAAATCTCGAGTTTGATTTATCCAAGAGGCTACTGAATGTTTACCTGATTGTTAAATTCAGAATCTGAATATTAGTCAAAATTCGTACAAGCTGCCTTAGGCATTCAATTATTAAAAAATTAAAAAAAAACTAAATATTTACAATCATCTCAATTACAAGTATCATTTAAATTCAAAAGATTAAAGCAAATGTCGAATCCAAATCAAAATGTTTGAATTTAAAGCACATCTCAAAGTTCACCCTTCAATTGCTAGGCTACCCATGCTGTCAAAGTTTTTTTTTTTCCATAATAAATCACAATCTAAAAGCAAATAACAAGAGTAATGTTAACGATGACCATGAAATCTGTCAATATATGTTTATTTTGTTTTTAGAAAAAAACAAAAACAAATAAATCAAGTCATTACATCTTTTCATCTAATGAAAATGAAAAATTAAAAAGTAAAAAGTAGAGAATTATTTGCCTGGTGTAACAGGGTAACCAATGCCATGCCTTCTAGTAGGAAAAACCATAAACAACAAGCTACAAATGAGCCCAATCCCAATAGGAACTATGTCCAAAACCTCTTGAGTTTCATGGGCAGGCTTTGGATAAAAGCAACTCAACACATTCTTATCCCTCAAAGCCACTGCAACAAACACCAACATTGACAACACTGCATGAACAACATCAATGGGGGTCACCCTGTACTTACTCAAATCTGGAAGCCCTGTATTTGATTGGTAGTCGAAGAGCCACATCCCTTTGAACGTTGCGAAGCCATAGTAGACTTGTCCTTCTGGTGACTTGAAGCTGTCGGTGAAGGAACTAAGGAAGCAGGATGTGGCGAGGAGAAGGAGGAGGATGAGTGTCATGGGGCGTGTGGCGGAGTCACATGAGCCGTTGGTGGTGAAGATCGGTGTGAGGAGTTGGAAGGCGAGGATGGTGCCGGTTGGGAGGAGGTTAGCTAAGTTGGCTGTGCTTGTTAGGGTTTGAGAGATTGCACCTTGTGAGAAGGACGGCGATGTTGGTGGTGGTGGTTGGGATTTTAAGGTTTCAGGTGTGTTATCATCATCTGAATCACTTGAAGTAGTGGTAGTGATTGGAGGTGTATTAGATATCGATGTTTCCTTGGAAGGAATTGGCCTTGCTCTAAGAGACATTTTTTTTTTAGAGTTTTGATAATATGGGTGAGGGTAGGATTAGGACATCTATCGATAATGGTAGTAGAAGTAGGGGAGCTGATGTCTGAAAAGGAGGTGATTGTGGTGGTGGTGATGGTGGAGCTGATGTCTACGGAGGAGGAGGTGGTGGTGGTGGTGGAGGCAAATTGGATATAAGTTATGAGGGTAATGGGGGTAGTTGCTGGGGTTGGGGGGGAGGACTAGTTATAAAGAGTTGGATCACAGTTTGTTTGCTTGTCTTGAAAGGTGTTGTTTCGTGGCAATGGGGTGTTTGGTATTAGTCTAATAATGTGTTTGACAATATTGTTCCAATCTATCTTTGCGTGTACCGTGCGCTGGCATTATTGTCTGGTTGACCATTTCCACATGATTAATTTTTCAGAAAACTCACATGTTAGAATTATTTAAAAATTAATTACTAAATCATGAAAAAAATTATAATTTTATTTTTTAATTTTTATAAAATTTGTCACTAACTTATAAATATTTTTTTAAACAACCAACTTCAATGAAATTTTTCCTAATTTTTTTATGTATCTATCACATACCTCATCACAAATTTTTTTTTTCAAACTAAAGAAACGTATCTCCGTTTGTTCATTCATTGACCCGTCAAACCTTGTTTTGGGTCCAGTAATATTATGAAGGTTATTAACTTGTACAATTTTTTAATGTGGGGAAAAAGTTAATTCAACATCCCATTTCTTAATTTATCACCCCTAACCCTTAATGATGTGACATTAAGATTAAATTCTCTATGATAGAATATTTAATAAATTAAAAATTGACACTCATTAAACACATCATCAAGGATAATTTTTAGAGATAATAAATTAAATGTCTCAAGCATATTTCAAATTAATTTATGGAGTTGGTGTGTACTTTTAAAAACAACACATGGTGAGAAAGCTGTGATTTTTTGTGATAAAAATTATAAATATTTATATTGTCTTTTGTCATTTTGTGGTATAAGTTATAAATGACAAATTTATAATGTATAATTATTATGATTATGTTATAAATAATGTGTAAATGTTATGAATCAGTGGTAAGAAATGTTATCAATCATTTTGGTGAAAAGGAAAAAAAAGGAAAATTATGACTTGTGATATTTGTTCTAGATTGCTGTGATTATGACCTATTTTGGAAAGATGGTAAAAAGTAATTTTTTGACTTTTAACTAAGTTTTTGATTTTTTTAGACAAATGATTTAGGAAGTTGGTAAAAAATTACTCTTGGCCTTTTTGATTAATATTTGTTCATGATGTCAAATCATAATAAAATGACCAAGTTACCCCCATTCAATTTAAAATATTTACAACTTTATTCATGTAACACATTTTGACCCATAAGGGGTAGAATTGTAATTTTACCAATGGCTGAAAACCAACTTCCTAAATGAAAAAAAATACAAAAAAGTCAACTTCTAATTTTTGCTACAAATCTAAAAAAGTAACTAAAAACCATATTCTCAAAACACCCCTATATTAGAGTGCACATGCATGTACCTTTTCAAAAAAACACACCGTAACAACTCCCTTAAAATTGATGTTATAAACCTATTAATATAATCAAAGGTTTACTATTCCCATTTTCCTTTATTCCAAAACACTTAAACCACTAAATGATAAGTAAATTTCAAAATGCAAAAATCTCAAAATATAATCTAAACACTTGTAATCATTTTATCTGAGAATTTTGAAATGTAAAAATTTGGAGGCATGAACCTACAATTATAAACGTTTCGAGAGTATAGAAGAAGTTAAAAATAGAAGACGATTTTGTGCAGAGAGCAGATGCCACGGTATGAATTGACCCATCTACCAGCAAGGTTGGGGAAATTTAATCGTAGGTCAGATAGTTAGCATCCTTGATCCCTTTTGATTGAGACTAATACCTACCATATACTTTATAGTCTAATGTAATTTTTTTTTAAAAAGTTTTTTATTTACCCTTTATTATCTTTCTCATTTTATTGAACAACTAGGTCATGGGTGATTGATTACAGATAGGAAAATGCAGTTGCGTCTATAAATATGGTTTGGTTTTGATTTTTTTGGGGCTAATTTAGTTAGACAGTTTACATTTTTACATTAAAAAATAAATAAAAACTAAATTGAGCTGTGGGCAATAGTCATAATTATATAATAAAAGAAATACAAATTGTCCAATCACAAACCTCCATCAGAGCAAATATATACAAATATTTATGGCACCACATTAGATACATAAACACAACAAGTCTTAACATCCTTGGACCTCAAATAAACAACAGTGATCATCAAAGATGTAAAACAAGATTACATCCATTACACATATACAAGGTCACAACAACACACAGTAACTTGGGTTTTCAAACATGCTCCAAGCTTTCACAAAACTCACATCATGCAAGGATCATTTCCTGAAATGGTTATAGAATAATAAAGGATGTGTCAAAACTCGGCGAGTAATATTATACTAAAGCATGAGTAATAAACCAAAGCACCATGGGTACATGAAGTTATCGAAATAGTAACTTGTAACAGATATTAATAATTAAATTTTTATATAAAAAGAGAGAACAGAGAATTTTCAATGAAAGCAAAGGCAGAATGAAAGGATATTGTGTCAACCTGTGCTCCAAACAGATATCACAAAAGGGGCAAGTCACGTATAGTGATACACAGGGATACACAGGGACGTCTCACTACATGGTTATCAACATGCTTACTGTCCCTTGGTAGCTAGAACTAATTACAAATGGCATATAGAAGTATCGCATCACAAGATTATAAAAACATATAGAGGGATATCCATGGATTTTTTGGGGTAAGTAGGATATCCATGGATTTGTGAAACATAAAACATGTATTTGCAATAAAGAAAAATATAACTTTGTGATCAAGTCATGCTTGGAAGGAAATAACATTTCTTTATAAACTAAGCTTGGAGATGCCCATTTTTTTACTCGGCTTGTCCTCTTATGAAGCTATATTGGTCTCTTCCTAATGATCCTTCACAAGGTATGTCAGAAATACAATTTAGACCAATTTATCCACAAAATGATTCCATAAATAATTACTCAAATTTCATTTATGCTGATTAAATCGTATGATTCCATATTGCCAATATGATATTGGTAATGTACAATCTTAATTATACTCTAAGGTGGGTCCCAGTCCCAGAGGTAGGGGTAGAAGTTGTGTTCGGATCATAAAAGAGAGAGATAAACCCGGAGCTGGTTGCTAAACTGTGCACTCCCACTGGCAGACTTGCTAGGGCGAGTTGTTAAGGGTTTGTTTTTGGGGTTCAAAACCAGTTTGGTTCTCAACCCCAAATCCCCCAAACTCCATTCTAAGGTCTCAACCTTGATACACGAAACATAAGTTCCCAAAGGCCTCCCACAACATCAACCCAACCTCCAAACATCATCAAATCCATGTTTCAAGTCACAAGTCACAAGTCACAAGTCAAGTCACAAATCACAAATAACAACTACAGGTCTCTTGCATGCATGATTTCCACAACCATGACATTACCACACACATGCAAACTAAACTCCCCCAATTCCTAGGTCCAAGCTTTACCAAATTTTAAATGATCATTTAGCTAATTTTCCAATTTTATTTCATGATATAGACACATGAATGAGATAATATAACCTGGATGGGTGCTACAGTTCTTTCTGGAAATCTCTCTCTCTCTCTCTCTCTCTACGCTAACACCTAAAAATACTTGGGACACTAGTCTGTTCTAGTACAATGCATGTGTCTCCATCCCAACAACTAACCACATCACCAACAAAACCCAACACATAAGCATGATATAGTCCCCCCATTAGCTTAGTTAATCTCACTTAATTAAGCCTAATATTGCTTACCAATTACAAAATTACATAAACAAAATAACATGCATCATTTTATTAAAAATTGAAACTAGAATTAAGATAATCACAAACCAAAATTCCCAAATTATTTGCTAAGGCCAAAAATGCCATATAAATAATTAATTTATCATGAATTTAGAAGGATTCTAACACTCAATTATCAGTTTATCACACATACGACATGCTTTGATTTAACAATTATCAATTAAAATAAGACACATAATTTCCAATGAATGCCATTAAGCAATAAGTTAGTAATGCAAAATGGAAAGACTAATAGCTACGGTATTGCATAAATAATCTAAAACTAACTAGCCATAAATAATAACTTACAGACTTCTAAGGTTGAGAATTGAGACTAGACGAATGGTCAGGCAGTTTTTATTTTGCTAGTAGCCTATGCTAAACTGGAGTTTTATATTTCATTTAATAAAGAGCAAAGATATAGGTCTGCATGCTCTTCTTATATTCCCCCCCTTGGAAATAGCCTAATTACCACTCCAAGCCTTTCTGAAAACCCTATTGCTTATACAATTGGGTAATCCCAACAAGAAGACAACGCTGCATTAATAAAGACCAAGGATAATCAAGGATTTTGAGTTTTTTGAACTGAGAAGCAAATAAGCTGAAAACCTGAAAAGTTTTACCAGACATTTTCAAAACTTAAGCTAAAAAGCTGGAAAAAAAAAAAAAAGTTCTAGCTAACAGGCCATACTAATGCTAAGAAAGTGATGATATAGTTATAGTAAAACATAGGCTTATATATATGCAAATATTGTCATCTACTTACAGCACCATTTAGAGTTTCTTCCTTTCTTCAAGCATAGAGATGAAGATGTTACCTAATGGCTCTTGCTTTGTCTCCTTAATCATGAAAGCATCTGTCAAAGCTGATCTTGATACCAAAGAAGCTACCAATAGACGCAAAGCCTGCAAAGTGAATATATCAGCAAGTAGCAAATGGATCTACGACAGTAAGTAAATTGAAATTATAAGCATATCTATCGTAATTTAATAATTTGATAGTTGAAGACCCATGATGAACTTCTAGTGCAAGCCAATGAATTCTATAGAACTGTAAGGGTTATGCTATTTTATCAAAATTGCTATGATAGAAATAAGGCTAATTACCCTGACCACCCCTGAAGTTTTACAAAAATATAATAAGTCCCACAAGTTTGGTATAATTGCATTGACCACCCTTTAGTAAGGCAAAAGTATCCAGAACTAATGCAGATGATCGTAAACACAACGATAAACACGGGTAATGTATACATTTTAGTATAAAAGAGATGACAATATCATTTTCCATCTATATGACTAATGAATTATCGATGAAAGGGGGGCTAAGTGTTATGTGAATTCAAATCTTATGGGAACCCAATGTAATTATGTCAAACATGTGGAGCTCAATGTATTTTCTTCAAACCTCAAGGGAGGTTAGTGTAATTACCCTAGAAATAACTTGACAGTAGTTCATTTACCTCCTCCTCACCCATGGTCACCTCCAATTCCTCAACATCACTGAGGGGTACCTTTAATTTGTTGATAAGAGATATACCTGAGATAGGAGATAAAGGTGTTATGGACAAATTATCTGTCACCATGAACATGGATGGCCCTTTCATAAATCCACCGCCAATTTTTACTTCCCCGATAAGGGAGTTTGAATTCAAATCAGAGCATTTCGTTGTAAACAAGGAAGAAAGAGTTGAGAATGATGGGTTTACAGCTTCCTCAATGCCAATTAGTTTGTTGCCACAAGCAAGACCAGGGGCTACTTTTGGATTGACTACAATGTCCTTCATCTCCTCAGATTTGAAGAACTTATTGATGTTGGTATCTTGGATGCTCTTGAATAAGTTACCCATGCATCCCTTGAAGGACAAAGACGAGAACTCTTTAAAGACATACCCGATTGGAAATGCAAGGAAACTACATAGGACATCAACAAAATTTTCTTCAACTTCTGCATACAATGCTCTATTGTTAGATTTGTTGATGATAAGCTTCAAGTTTGTCTTTGTATCCACATTTTTGGTGTCCTTAACTTTTTGAGATCGACATGTACTCCTCGGTCCATATTTTCCACGGCGAAACGTGAAACTAGTCTTACTGATGGGTGGTTCCATAATGGTGTCAGACAGGGGTGTCCTTGATGTTAATGAACACTTCAGCAATTTCAGAACCTGAGAGAGAGAGGGAGAGAGAGTAAAATGATAAGGCTAACATTTATGCAATTAGAAAAACAACTAATGAATTTGTTACTTACCTCATTCTTTCCTATGTTCACAGTTCTCTCCTCTAGTTTGCTATCATCCATTGTTCTGAAATTGCTAAGCAAAGATAAGCCAGCCATGGTGGACAGAGGCAATACTTTAAAGTCATCCGTTATCATAAAGCGGGCAGTTGGTTTTACAAACACCCCTCCATCTTGAGAAACCGGATTTGACAGATTTACCTCAAGTTCTAAGGGGTTTCCACAGCGGCAACATGAAGTTTGGTAATAGCTGAGAAAACTACAATCAGCATCGAAACAAACATAATATTTGCTCCTGCTATTGCTTTCAATCAAATTTATTTTTAGGTTCCTATGGTATATTTCAGCTGCACTTCGAGGATGAAGTAGTATCTCCTTGTGCTCACTTATTAGATATTCCTCATCAAGATTTTCTACACTTTCATATAAGTTGTTCAAGCAACCAATCTCCCCCTTTAATAAGTGCTCATGAATGAGCTCAACAATAGTTCCAATAGGTAATGTCATGAAGCTGAATATAACGTCAACAAAATCCTTATTTGACTCAGCAAAAACAACTCGGTTTTTCTCTTTCTCCACAAGGATCTTCAAAGTGATACTTTTAGAAGCGTCGCTCGCCATGATTTTGAATGAAAAACAAATGACTAGTTTCAAGAAAAGTGTAATTTGCTCACAAATTTTGGCTCCTACCCTTGTGTAATCACTACAAAAGTAAAGAGTAATTGAAAAACATATCAAAAGCTATCCATCACAATATATATATATATAGTAGATGAAGCTTGCACAAGTTTGGGAGTAAAGGTTTAACAATAATACAAAAAAGGTAGTCAAAATTTCATATTAATGGAAAGAGGACTGATGCATTTCAAAAATGGTGTGCTTGTCCACACCATGTAAGAACTATCCAAATCCATTAACCGTAGCACTAAAACAGAGCCATTCATCATCAACCCCCAAAAAACTCACAGCCACCAGTATACATATATTCATCGGATTTGGTTCTTATCAGAACAAATATATTTGAACTTATCCTCGTTATAATTGGATTTCTTCAATTGAAAAAGGGATCTTAATGGACGCACGCTTCAGTAATTCAAACCTTATTTTTTGCTATATGCATGCCTTCAAAACTAAAATCTGAGTAAATTGGCCATCGTAACATATTTCATAGAATTGTTACGTATCAATAAGATTCCCAATTTTTAACTATTCTCACAAATAATCGACATCTCAATGCCTAGGCTAAGATACTTAAAAAAATGCTAGAGAATTTGATTCTAAAAAACCTGTCATCACAAAGCTTTATCTAATCCTTTCTTCATTGTTCACATACATGTTAAACATCAAAGCTAAAAATCGCAATCTCGTTATTAAGTTGCAGACTTGACCATCATCACTAACATAATTGCCACTATTGTTAGAGTTGTGTTGAAGACACATTAACTAATTTAGATTTTTTGGGGGAAGTGGGGACTATGAGGGTTTGAGAAAAAAGTTTGGCTTCTCTCAAGTTGTCATCAGGGCGTTTGGACTTGGTAAGCACATTTTGGGATCGATTTTAGTGACCCGAACTGTTAAAAGACTCATTATCTAGAATATTCATACAAAAAACAAAAAATAAGATGATTGGACGTCACAAATATAATTTCAAAAACAACTATGCATTTTTATAATACAAATTTGATTCAAACATTGTTATCATCTTTATTTTTTATTACATGAATATTCTATCCAGCAATCGGTCTCAAAATGGGCCAACCAATCCCAAACGCGGTCTCACCAGACCCAAAATATATAAGCCATGAAGAAAGGAGAAAAGAAGGGTGAGAGGGTAACACAAGTAAAAGCAATCAAAGATGTATGGAGTTATGGCAATAATACCTGTGAGATATGCCCAGCAAAGCAAAGCAAAGGCAAGATGAACAACACAGGCTTCAAATTGCAGTAAACTAGTAGTAAATTGATGGGTGATAATGATGAGAATTCATGGAGGGTTTGGGAATTGGGAAAGATTAGATAAATTGCTGAAACCAGTGGAAGGTTTTTGTAAGGTTTGAGAATAGGATAATGATCATCTGATGACAGTGGTGGCGCTGAGTAGATAGTTTAGTCAACTCAAGTTCGATATTATCTGATGATTATCTGATGATAGTGCTCGTTTTGCCCCTTTTTTTTTGGACCGAATAGTGCTATGCTATGCTAACAATCGTTTTTAGCGCCATTTTAATTGTAATATATATTTACTGAAATTAATATATTTATAATATATTTTTTAATACTTATCTTTTAATATATGAGGCTTAAAAAAATATAAACATAAAAGAAATGCTTTATTTTGTTTGCATTTATATATATACTAGCGTATGCCCGTGCCTAAAGGCACGATATAAATAATATTGTAATCAAAATACAGTTGTAAATCATACGTATCATATTAAAATTTATAAAGTCCGTAATATTTTTTGACAAAAATATTGAAAAAATATAAAAAAAAAACTATTATTTTTAAAAAATTGTAACAATTTTACTTGTATCACACGCTTTATAAAACTCGAATAAACTAACAGCAAAATAGCCCAAAACTCTGGTGATGCAGCCCACAAAGAAGCACCGAAATACTCCCACTGCCAACAAACAAATAATTATTCTGTTGTTTATACCCATTAATATATATAATACTACCAAAATAAATAATTATTATGTTGTTTAAGAATTTCAATTCAGTAGTTTATCCATCAAACAATAAAAGCTAAATAAATTAAGATTCTAAAAATAAAAATAATAATGAATACAGTATTGTAATTTCTCAAAAATTGTGGAATTTTCGGACCCCCCTTCCCTTGTTGGTAATGGGTCACCCAAAGCTTTTTTTTTCTTTCTTTCTTTAGACTTCACTCTCTATCACTTTCTTGCTTGCTTTTTCCATCTAGCCAATGACATTCTGTCCGCATAGTCTTCGTTTTGATGAACCAATTTCTAGAGCCTTCAAAGCTTATAACATCTTGAAAGTGCTTAAAAATTTTAACTATCCTTGGCAACAACCATAATTTATCTGGCAATAGATTCTAACACATTCAGATTTTAACACCTTCAAACTACTGAGTTATGGGCTGATAAATAATACAATTCTAATTTTATGGTGAGTTTGATGAGTTTAAAATTTTGAATTATAGTAAAGTAGTTTCTAATCAAGCAAGTCCTCAGGGTTGGTTTGAAGGTTTAAAAACGTATCACCCATAAAAGTAATGAGTCACCTAGTGTACATCCGTGTCTAAATTAATTATAAGATTAAAATATAATTAAATTTAAAAGTATTGATTTAAAATGTAATTTATCAAATTTATTGACTTTGAAATGAATTTTGTAAAAGTACTCAACATAAATACACCCCAATAAAATTGAAGTAAAAATTGAAAAATATAATTTCTTATAAGAAAAACTCTTCTTTTCAGTTTTTGAACAAATCACACTACTATCATTATTTCTATTCTCTTTCTCAAAATTCACTTTTATGATCATTTTTTTAACATAACCCAATCTAAACCTAATTTAAATTTTGAGTTTTAAAAAAAAAAAAAAATTCTACATAAACATAACTCAAAACTCAATTTAAACTCAATTTTCATACAAATTTAAATTCACCATTTTTTTAAAACAGAACTCAATTTAAACTCTATTTAAATTTTGAGTATAAATTAATCCACCAAAAAAAAAAACCAAACATTTTTTACAAATATTTTTCAAAAATAGTGGATTTAAAAAACAAATAAAAAAATTTAAACCCACTTTTTTTTGTGTGGTGTTGTACCGAGTGACCCCCTAACCTCTCTTCACTGTCTCCCACTCATTCTTCCTCTCCATCTTCCGCCCTTTCTCTCTCTAATCTCTCCAGAAAGGTCTTTTTTCTCATTCTCTCCTTTTAATCAACACCCGTTCTCTCTCTTTCTCATTCTCTCGTCTCTTTCTCAGTTTTAACGTTTAAAAAACAAATCTTAGAAAAACAAATATTAGCTCAAATCTTAGAAATACAAACCCAAACATCCCCCAAAATCGAAATTCTCAAACATCCATGCCTCGTGGGTTGCCAAAAGGAGGCTAGAGAAATTTCCCTCTCCACTCCAGAGAAATTTACTCATTCCCAGAGAAAATCCCCTCCAACTAGAGAAATTCACTTGTTGTCTGCAGTTTGATGGCTTCAGTGATTTGGATGCATATTCACAGAGAAAATCTCACCAGAGAATTTCTCTGGATTCAACCCAGAGAAATTTCCCTCTCAACTCCAGAGAAATTTACTCAATCTCAGAGAAAATCCCCTCCAACTAGAGAAATTCACTTGTTGTCTGCAGTTTGATAGAAGAGTTCAAGAATATAATCAATACGAGACACAATTCAATATATGGAACTAAAGAGTGTGCATCTTGATATTGATAGCTGACCAATGCCTTGAATCAACACTTCTGTTAACATTGTAATGCACTTATCCAGAGAGAAAGAGAGATACCAAAGGACCAGATATAGGTGTTAATATCAAATGTCTTCTTAGTTGTTTTATGATCATAGACCAGCTCAATTTGAGGACTGTATTGACAACAATAAACAATGTACTTACATGTTTAAAGAAGTCAAAAATGTTTAGATGCACAAGTAATATACCATTAATAGAAGATTAAAAAATGAACCAGTTAAACCAAAGAACCCAATAACTGCAGCCATTACCCAGTGTTGGTCATGAAAATGCAGGATACTGGGAGAGGCAGCTTTGGTACTATAGAGAGAGTCTAGCATAATTGTATGAATTGATTGACTTTAGACTATAATAGATTAAATAACACCAGTAATTAATTGAGCATAGTTTTAGTGATGGCAATTGAACTTTCTGGCTATGAAATAGACTAAATAATATAACTTGTCTATTGTGTTTTCTATAGCCAAAAATATGAAGTCTACTTGTTATCTGCAAGACTTTCTCAAAACAAGAGCATTTTTAATTCAACAAACCAGAAATTTACTCAACCCAGAGAAATTTCCCTCTTTACTCCAGAGAAATTTACTCAATCCTAGAGAAAATCCCCTCCAACTAGAGAAATTCACTTGTTGTCTGCAGTTTGATGGCTTCAGTGATTTGATCCAACATTATTCTTATACTACAAAAAGAGACTTGATCCAATAATCATATTTATGTCTATATTCATAATGAATTCAATATACAAAGCAATCTTAGGAATTTTTCTGGATTCAAGACCTTGAACCTTCAAATTTCTCTACCCAACCATAACCTTCACTGGGTATCTTGTTCAAGGTAGGCTCATCCTCAAAATCAACCATTTCACCAGAAGAGATGTCTTTTGTGGAAGCTGTTAGCATTTGTGCCCTCAAAAACCAATTTATTGACTTTATTAATTGATTATATAAATTGCTTGGCATTTTATATTTTACATTTTGTATGTTATTATGGGTAATGTTATATTTAATGTTACATATGATGTGAACATAAGGTCCCTTGGGTAACATTGTAGAAAAACATGCTAATGGTTAATGAACCAAAAGCTGGGAGTTATAATTTTTCGGTGCCTTGTTGACCCAATTAATGTTCTAGGCTATGGGTGTTGATTGGGCGTCGCACTACTATGGCCTACACTTGTTTTGCTGCTATATGATAGAATGATTAACTCCATCATTGAGGTAGTGACCTTAAGCAAATAGGTGGGTGTTATGCAATAAGTACATGCACTGAACAGGATCGGTTTTAAGAATACCTATGGAATGATCACTATCAGTTTAAAAGGTAGTTCTATTACAATACACTTATTTTCCTTTAACCTGAGAGGCTTGTATAAATTAATTATGTATTCATTTAACTTTGACATTGTCAATCGGTGACGCCGAATCAAAGGCTATGCACGGACATGTTGGGTTATGTGAATGGTAATTAATTTATATAGGTGCTTAACATGGAATCCACCATTCTCAAGTGAGAAAGTATATTCAAGCAATTTTTCCTATTAACATTGGACCAAAAGAAAACCGGCCGGTTACTGTTTTGTAAAAATATTTTATACATATATAATTGTAAAAATACTATTTTTGAAAAATGCTTTTAGGGTCCAATTAGAAGAAGGAAAAATTTAGAATTCGGTTGCATGAGTTAGGGCTTTTGATAGTGATAAATTTGTCCATACCTAATAGCTCATGTGGAATATAGTTTGGTGGAAGGAAATTTGTGATTAATTGTAAGAAAGGGCCTCACTTGTAATTCTCTACTTTTAGGGGTTTAATTGTAATGTGTTGATGGACATTATTGCAATTAGTGGAAGTTCTACATTATCTGTTTAAAAGATAATTAATGAAAAATTGGATAAGTTGTATCCTGTATATTTAAAATAAAATATACATCTTTTATTTTATCCCTACAACTAAAAGATAGAGATCCCTAAGGATCCCACCTACATGCAAACTCTATCATGTGTTGTGTATATATATCAGATGTATTTGATACAAAAAAAATTAGCCATCAGAATTTTTAAGGTCTGAAAAAAAAAATATACACAAAAATAAATCAAAGAGGGTGCAAGGTGAATCACTTTGGAGGCGAGACACTTGGATGGCTTGGTGAGGTATTATCAACAACTCACTTGGAGAAGGTAATTTAGATTGTGTAATCAGGTGGTGTTTCTTTGAAAAAGTGTTTTTAAAATAAATTATTTTTCCGCAAACTTTCAGAAGCATCATTGAAAGTACTACTTGATCTTGGTTTCTCGTGATCGCTATTTTTATATCTGCTAATTAAAAGCTGCCTTCTGGAGCATCTGGTGCGCATTCTTGGATGGGTGATGGGGCCACCTGAACCACAAAATTCTCTACCTTTGATTGATTAACATCTAACCATGATTGTTCTTAATGGCTTTTTTCATGGACCGTAGCGAGGAGGAGGAAAGGTTATGGGATCGGGGGATCAACGCTTTGAAGAAGCTTCGAGAGTGGTTGAAGATCGTTGCTGAGCCACGGTGGAAGACCTTCATACGGCGATTCAATCGGAGCAAGAGTGGCAGAGGAGTTCTTGACATAGGGTTTCTTGGATTGATCGAGCTGGATTGACGAGAGAGAGAGCAGAGTAGCGAGGAGAGAGAAGAGGTGAGGCGTGAGTTTGAGAGAGAGAGAGATGTGAAGGTTTGAAG